GATAGATAGATAGATAGATAGATAGATAGATAGATAGATAGATAGATGAAAGAAAGACAGACAGACAGATGTGATAGATAGATAGATAGATAGATAGATAGATAGATAGATAGATAGATGATAGGGGTAGGTAGGTAGATGAGGTAGATAGGTAGATAGATAGATAGATAGAGGATAGATAGATAGAGGATAGATAGATAGATAGATAGATAGAGGATAGATAGATAGATAGATAGATAGATAGATAGATGGAAGACGGGGTAGGTAGGTAGATGAGAGATAGATTAGATAGAGGTAGGTAGGTAGATGATAGATAAGGTAGGTAGGTAGGTGGATAGATAGGTAGATTGATTAGTTAGATGAGATAGATTAGATGTATAGATTAGATAGAAAGAGAGATATATAGAAATATAGAAATTGTGTGTGTATATAATTAAATTAAATTTCTGGGCGACAGGGATATATATACATACATACATACATACATACATACATACATACATTTCCCCGTCACCCAGAAATTTAATTTATCGAATGTAACCATTGCCTGAAAAGTCAACCAACAAACAGACGTGAACAATAGTTTAAAAAAAGAAACCGATCACCATTTTTGCCACGTCGCTCCCCTTTTATTCTGCCGTCCTCAGACTCTGCATTTTATTAATTTAGATATCGAGAATAATATTACTCAGAGATGCTGAGAGGGTTTTTTTTTTCCTTTCCTTCTCTCCCCTCCCTCCCCTCATTGAAGGACGCTCCTCACTTTGCGTCCTTTTGGAAGAATTCATTGTAGGACATGCAGAGGGCCGTCAGGAAATTGGTATATTCCTTAAAATCGATCTCGTCGTCGTGATTCTTATCCAGGCTTTCCATCAGCTTGTCGATCCCACGATTCTTCATTTTCTGCAAGGGGGGGGGGGGAGAGAAGGAGAAAAGGTTCTGGGTTCGAGATGTGCCGTAATAGTCGGACAAAGGGTCTCGCGACGAATCCCGGAGTTTTGTTATCCGGTTTTTGCTTTGCTTTGTTTTGCTGCTTCGGGGCTGAACTTCCCAGGGCTGAGTTCAACTCCCAGCCTGGGGCTCTAGTCCTCATGACCCCCTCGAGATTCATAAGGCACAGCACTCCTCGACCTTACGACTTAGCCAGTCCCAAAACAGGAATTGACACCCCGTCCCCGTCCGCAATGTTCCCCCACCTTCCTCCGAGCCCGTTTTCCGTGGCTCGGCAACCGATCCACTTTTATGACCATTTGGCACGGGACTGCGTTTTAACGATGCTCTTTCTCTCTCTCTCTCTCTCTCTCTCTCTCTCTCTCTCTCCCCCCCCCAGTTTCCGGTGAAAACCCATGAGGAATGGCGCCATCCCTTTGTGATGGCCAACATCCGCTTAGCGACTGCCACTTCCAAGAAATGGCACAGAATCTCTCGCTTGGGCCGGGGGTGGTCTAGATGACCTACAAGGTCCCTTCCAACTCTGATGATCTCTTATTCTGCCACAGAAAAAGGCACGGTCATGAGGGGTGGGGGTCACCTCCCAAAATTACAGGCTGGTCACAACCCGTAACAGGTAAAATCGACCTTCCCTGGCCCTTGGAATCACGAGGACTAGAAACTTGGGCTGAGTTTCTTGCGGGTTTTTTTTTTCCCCTTGCATTTTTTTTTTTAAAAAAAAACAACGTGCCCAGTTTATAACTTCACACCCACTAAGTGAGGGGAACGTTTTCCCTCTTTTTCCCCACATCCCGCTTACCTCTCCCAAAGCCAACTCCTCCTGGACCAGCTCCTTCAATTCTTGCCTGCTCAGGGTCAATTTGTCACCTTCTCGGCCGGAATATTTGTGAAAGGTGCACACCAGGGTGGCCAAAGCTTTCTCCAGCTGGGTCTCCATTGGGTCAGGGGGCACCAAGGATGGTCTGGAAGAGGAGAAAGAGTGGGGGGTGCCGGTGGGGGTCTATCAGTTGCACGTGGAGATTTGGGGAGGGGGTCCCATCCGATTTTACTTTCTGCATCCGCCGAGAATTATTTCACGCTCCTGCAGTTTAATTTCTGGCCTCTGTAATAACCCGGTTTTTATATTCCGCTTTCTCCACTTCTTTCGTCATTTCTCGGGTCTGTCTTTTTAAAGGTCTGTGGACTACGACTCCCAGAATTCCCCCCGGCTGGAGAATTCTGGGAGTTGAAGTCCACATCTCTTAAAAGTTTCCAAGTTTGAGAAATACTAGTTGTTGTTTTTTTTAAAGGCACTTTTTCTGTTGGTTTGTAATGGTTGCTTGATGTAAGCTTTTTTTTTTTTGGAAGGTGCTTGTAAGTGCTTTTATCTGGAATTTGTCCGATAAAATCTTAACTTTTGGTTTCTTTTTCAATCTTTCGCCCTAACTTTAAATGTTTGGTTTTAAGGCTTTTAAGGAGTCTGTGTTCTTTCCTTAAAAGGCTCTGCATTAGCTCTCTCTATTTTTTTCCCCCAATATGTGCTGATTTTTGATTGACAAAAACTATGGCTCTTGTTATCGGTCGATTCAATTTATAGCCCTTTATCCGTTGATTAAATTTATAGCAATTTATCTGTTGATTAAATTTAACAGATATCACACTATTGAGCAACTCAGCTTCGAGATGAAGTTCTCTCTTTAAATATTTGATTAAATATTGATTAATTATTTCTTTAAATGTTTTCTTTGTGGTGTGTGTGTGTGTGTGTGTGTGTAGGTATATGTATATGTGTGTGTGTTAATGTATGTATGCATTTATGTATATATGTATTTTTTTTTAAACCTCCAGAATCTCCCTGGAGAGCAGACTGCCTTAAAGGGCTAAAAAGAGCTTGAAATGGAGAGCTCACGTAAGCAAGCCAAGTTGCATTTTATTTTATTTTTGCAAAAATCACGCCGGATTTTGGCCACCATCTTTCTACTCAGGTGGGTAAGTGTTACACTTAACATTCTGACTTGGGTGGTGGTGGAGATTTTACTCGGCTGGCTGTGGCTGATGGGAGTTGCAATCCAGCAGCCTTCCTGCAAAATAATCCTGGATTCTGGAGCAAAGTTGAAGTGGGTGTTTCAAAAAGCCAGGGAGGCTTTTGCAAAGTTGAGAAATTGAGATAAAGTTGGTGCAACTTAGTGGGCGTGAGCAGATAAGTGCAATACCCCCCCACAAACCCTCCTAATATTGGTGGTTGGCATGTCCAGCTAAGTTGAAAATGTTTGGAGCAAATCATGTACACAGTCGTCCACGTATATAGAGAGGAATCACCGTCTCAAAATATTTGCAGAAGGGCTGGGATGGGGAAATATAATTCAATAAGGGGATAGTGATCTGCTGATTGAGGACACACACACAGACACACAGACACACACACCACCCTGCCTAGAGTAGCAAAGCGAGCAGAGAGCGAAATTCGGAATATAAAAAAAGGAGTGTTAATCCAAGGGATGGTGGAACGGAACAGCTTTAAAAAAAATGGGTGTGTGTGCGTGCGGTTTTTGTGGTTGACTGTTCGTCCCTCCAGAGCAAGGTTTTGCAAACTTAGTAATTTGAAGGGTGGGGGGGCTTCGGTCCCAGAATCCCCCCAGTTTGCATGAATGAATTTCAACCCTGGGAATTAGAAAGCATGCTGGTTGGGGAAGTCTGGGTGTTGAATATCTATATCTTGGTTGTATGCCATAAATAAATATTTACATTTATTAGCGGCCAATTAGTTCCATATCTATCTGTCTATCTATCTATCTATCTATCTATCTATCTATCTTCTATTTGACTATCACCTCTCTCTCTCTCATTCTCATCTATCTATCTATCTATCTATCTATCTATCTATCTATCTATCTATCTTCTATTTGACTATCACCTCTCTCTCATTCTTATCTATGTATCTATCTATCTATCTATCTATCTATCTATCTATCCATCCATCCATCTATCTATCTATCTATCTATCTATCTATCTATCTATCTATCTATC